GGCAATCAATCTTGGTATATTCATTCAACAGGCATTTAACATCTTGGTTTACCAAGATTTCTCTCACTGTGTCCCAAGGTTCTGGGTTCAAATGGTCCTGCTGTTTCAGCAGCCTGAAGTCAGAGCATATGCTACCACACCCAGCTGGTTAACTATTTGTCCCATTCTTCTCAGTGTAAGCCAAGAAGACAATGAGAATTTCGTAGAGCCTGTGCCTATTATGTAGGCAGTTTTATTTCTATAGGAAATATGGAATGTCCTACACTTCTGTAGTATTTTATAGGGCAAATAAATGTTCTTGTGTTAGCTGGCCCTCATCACTAAAGTCTTGACTGATTAAATTAACTGTGATCTCATACCTTGTAAATTAAGCAGTATAGAATGGAAACATTCTATTTCATGGCAGAGTTAGTCAAGACAATTCATCCTGTATTTTATGTACCTAACATAATACCTGACACACAGGAGTTAGTTAGTACTCATTCATTTGTGCACAGGGAGCTATTGCTAGCTGTACAGTGCTTTATAGTTTACCAAGCACTTTACTGTGCTCTTTCTTAACTTTTAGTTTTGTTATCCCTGGTGCCGAGCATGGTGTTTTGCAAGTTATAAGGTGATCCCAATAGGGGAGTCACTTATACTTGGGGCATATTTTGTAGTTTAAAGTCACTTTCCATGTGTTTTCTGCTACCTGGCATACTGAAAATCACCAATGCAATAGAAACACATTGGCCTGAAGTATGGATTATCCTTCATTCATTCAAGCCATCGTTATATAATTCTTTTCCCTAAACATATTTTGACTTGTTATTCCTGCAGCAATCATTGTGTCCAGAGAATGCACGCACTAGGTAAGACGCATGCATTCAGCACTGACATAGAAGCTTTAGTGTGCTTTGTGGTTTATAAAACATATTTCTATGTCTTCATGTTAGCTGGAAGTGACCATACTTAAGCAGCACATCCTTAGTACTCAGCGCAAAGATAGGCATAAGTTGTGTTATTCAGACATAGTCCCTGGTGTTTAGATCAGGGCTTGGTCAAGTCCAAAGCAATGGGCCAGTGAGGGATTTTTACCTTCTGAAAAGGTTTCTTTTCTTTTTAAAAGAATGAGCAACTAAGACCAATGGCCCACAAAGCCTCGGGTATTTACAGTCCTTGACTCCTTCCAGGAAAAACTCAAATTGCATTTTCAAATGTTAACTATGTGTGGTTGCCCATGTGCTATGAGCATGTCACTTTTTTTCTCCTGTGTTGTATCAGTCATTAAAGTCAAGTTCCCTCTTAAAGGGGGATAGGGGGAACCAGAAGCATGAAACCTATTAAATAGTCCTAAATTCTTTCATCATTAATCCTAAAGGTGGGTGTTAAACCCAGGACTTAGTGAATACACCAAAATTCCTTGGCCACTACCATGAACAGGGAGTTAGTTCGGACCTCGGTCTGTCCCAAATCTAATCACTGTTATCATTATTAGAAATTCCATACCCTGCTCACCTAAGCCCAAAGAAGGAAGCTGATGTTGGCTGGTGCTTCTCAGGTTGGCACATTTGCATATTGCTCGTCTAATTCTTCTCATTGGTCTGGAGCATATCTTCATATTTTCTCTAGATAGCCTGCTACTGTTTTCCCCTAACAGTCTGGTGCTTTCCTTTCTCATAGCCTAAGGCTGCAGAGTTAGGGTGGATTGAAGTACAGTATCTGTACGGCTGCTAGGGGAATATCAAAAGTCACACTAGATAACACTGGCTGGATTTTGTTCTCTTTCTCTCTCTCTCTCTCGCAAGAGGAACAGACATGAAGAGAAATGGAAGTTTTAAAACATCAAAACTTTAAGAAATGGCTAAAATCAGGTTTAAAACAGACTAAAGATCAACCCCTGCACAATGCTGTCAACCTAAAAGCTTGTTCCTTTATGGTAAATGACATTATTGAAAAGTACATCAAGTAAAACTGGCATGAATGGAAATCTGAGAAGCGAGTACTGAAAACGTCCGTGGGGGGGGGGCAGTATAAAAGTTGGGAGGGTCTCATCTTCAGATTTCCCTTAGTCTTGGGGTTTTAACCCCCCCCCCCCCCCCCAGACTTCTAGGCCACAGGCCTCCAACTTCTAGTCCATATAGGCTTGAGTCCTTAGATCTTAGGTTTAGACTTAGCTCAGGTGCAGGTCTCAGTTCGTCGACTTCACATGGGTCCTGTAGAAACAGCCCTTCTTCTATGGGTTGTCAGCATTCTGTCCATCCAACTTGAGACTCAAACTTTCCAGCCAGCTCAGACAGGCCTTCTGTATCTTGGTCCTTAAGTCTGTCTTCCACTTTGGGTCTTTACATGTTCCTTTCAGGTCTACTTCAGTCCTGACCAAAGCGCTGGATTTTCTCTTAGATTATTCCGCAGGGCTTGAAGAACAGCTCCACTGGTGATATTCCGCAGGCTAGGAAGACCCTCTGTCTCTCTCTCTCTCACACACACACACACACACACACACACACACACACACACACACACACACAGAAATATCCAAGAGGATTAGAGGAAGAGGGAGACAAACTCGTAAAAAGACTGGCATTCTCAAAGTGAGTAGCAAGGGGAGAAAGTAGAAGGGAAATAAAGAAACAAACACTAGAGTAATGCTGAGATCAGAAATCACAAATAGCAGAGACACAGCTGCAAAGAAGGAAAAAGGAGATGTAGTAAAGAGACTCATGTGCTAAGGATAGAAACAGCAGAAAGGAAAATATGAATGTTGAGTCAAAGGACTGACAAGCAGATCACACAGAAAAAAGCAAGTGAGGTGAACACAAGGAAAGGAGAGGATTGCAAGCAACATGTGACCCAAAGGAGAGTCGTGAAAGGCAGAAAGAGTAAAAGAAGAGTTATGAGAAACAGCAACCAGATAGAAAAAACAGAGCCACATCTAGCCAAGACAAGGCACAAATCACAGAGAGGAGAGGAGAAAATAAGACAAAGCACAAAGCTCTGCTAGGAAGAAATTAGTAGAGAAACACAGCAATAGGTAAGATAGACTGTACACAGAGAAGGAGTAAAAGACACTTGACATAGACATCAAAGCAAGGAAGGAAGAAAAACATACAAGGCGAGGAAGAAAGACATACAACAAAGCAAGGGAGAAAAACATACACGGCAAGAAAGGAAGAAAAGAAGGAAGGAAGGAAGGAAGGAAGGAAGGAAGGAAGGAAGGAAGGAAGGAAGGAAGAAAGACATACAAGGCGAGGAAGAAAGACATACAACAAAGCAAGGGAGAAAAACATACACGGCAAGAAAGGAAGGAAGGAAGGAAGGAAGGAAGGAAGGAAGGAAGGAAGGAAGGAAGGAAGGAAGAAAGAAAGAAAGACATACAAGGCGAGGAAGAAAGACATACAACAAAGCAAGGGAGAAAGAAATACAACAAAGCAAGGGAGAAAAACATACACGGCAAGAAAGGAAGGAAGGAAGGAAGAAAGAAAGAAAGAAAGAAAGAAAGAAAGAAAGAAAGAAAGAAAGAAAGAAAGAAAGAAAGAAAGACAGACATACAAGGCGAGGAAGAAAGACATACAACAAAGCAAGGGAGGAAAACATGCAAAGCAAGAAAGGAAGAAAGGAAGGAAGGAAGAAAGAAAGAAAGAAAGAAAGACACACAAGGCGAAGAAGAAAGACATACAAGGCGAGGAAGAAATAGACACATCAATAGATACATCAAAGAAAAAGAGCAAGAAAGACGCACAAGGCTAGGAAAAAAGACACACAAATCAAGGGAAGAAACGAATACATCAAAGAATGAGACACACAAAGGAAGAAATAGATGTATAAAACAATTAAGAAATAGACACCCAACACAGTACACACTTACAATTGAAAGAAGTAAGCAAAGTTCAACAAGAGGGTAAAAAGAAAAGCAGACAGGGAAGGAAGGGAAAAGTGTCATTAGTACAGTAAGTGATTCGTGTACCAGTACTACCTATGTTAACCCCAGTAATAGTACATCATAATCCCCTACTCTAAGGCAGAGGCTCTAATGCTTAGGGATCCCTTCAGGCACTACTGAGTGTTTGCACGCAGTGCCCGTTGACTTTATTCTCCAGGGTGTCCATTTCACTTGCCAGGCATTATATTAAGCCCTTTCCATTCACGATTTCATTTGACCTTTTAAATAGACAAGTCTTACAGGGGACTAAATTGGCAAAAGTCATACAACCAAAGAGTAGCCAATTTAAACAGAGAATGAACACCTCTTAGCATTCTATTACATGGTTTCCCTAATTTCCATAAGCGCCAAATGCCACAGGTGGCTGCGTATTTTAATTGTCATCCTCACTTTCCCCGTTTCTTTAAGAAAACAGGCTTGGAAAAAAAAAAAGAAAACGGGTTTGGTTTTTTACATCCTTTATAATGGCTGCTTCAGGATTTAGGTTTTTTTTTTTTTTTAACACTAAACCTTAAATGTACAATTGTCACAGAAACAAATCCTTTCAGCGGAAACAAACTATTTAAGACTTTCCAGTAGGCAAACGGCTGAGAATGAATGGCAGAGCACCAATCCAAAGACAGCGGGAGGCCACATTTCTCTATGATGCAACTGGTGAGCAGGCTATTGTTGGAGTTGCTGCTAGGAGCCCAGTTGCCAGTGTGGAAGCCTGGTCCTCTTCCAGCATGTATTTGGCCCAACTTCACACCATGGCATTAGACCACCACCACACTCCACACGGCACCGCCTTCCAGCAAATGCAAACCCCCAGAGGACTGCAATGCTGGCAACTTACTTCATTCTGTTGCTTTAAGATGCAGGCATGGGGGCTGGAGAGATGGCTCAGAGGTTAAGAGTACTGGCTGCTCTTCCAGAGGTCCTGAGTTCAATTCCCAGCAACCACATGGTGGTTCACAACCATCTGTACTGAGATCTGGCGCCCTGCTCTGGCGTGCAGGCATACATCGAGGCAGAATGTTGTATACATAATAAATAAAAAAAAAAAAGATGCAGGCATGTTGGTCCTTGGGTTATAAAGCTGGCTTCCTTTCATGTGTTCCCATTTCGCGATCCTGCTGAAGGCCCAGCTTTGGTAAGGATGACCATTTGGTCTACTGAACTACAAAGAACAAAAGAAGCTGGGTGAATGTCAGGAAAGAAGACATAGAGGGTGCTGGTTCTTTAAATTCTGCCTGATAATAGATGCTTCTGGATCATTTTCAGCTAGGTTTCCACTTGTAGCCAGAGCCATTCATTATCATTCACGTTAGCATAAAAAGAGAAGCTACTCACTGGAAGCACAGTGAATCTTGCAGTGTGGAAACAGCTGGTTAAGTTCTCCTACAGAGCTTCCAGGGTGGCTTTGAGAACTGCCAGGGCTGTGGCAGCTTTTCTCCTAGAAGAAAGAACCATTTGCACAGCTGAGTTACAGTTCCCTAGTACACCGTGCGGGTTTACCCTACACACCCCACTTTCACAGCGTCACAGCGAGATGCTTCCCTGGTAGTCAGGAAGCTGTTCTTAGCAAATGATAATTATAACTCGAGTATGGGACTGGAGAGATGGCTACGCAGTTAAGAGCACTGGCTGCCTTCCAGGTCCTGAGCTCACTTTCCAGCAAACACACAGTGGCTCACAACCATCTTATATAACAGCATCTGATGCCCTCTTCTGGCATGAAGTGTACATGCAAACAGAGCACTCATGCATTATAAAAAAAAATTCAAACAAAATAAAACATAACAAGTCAAAGTCTTAGCTACAATGGAAAACAAGATCAAAATTAAAATTATTTTCACACCTAGCATTAGGATTCAATTCTCAGCAACCGCATGGTGGCTCACAACCATTTATACTATAATGGGATCCGATGCCCTCTTGTGGCGTGCAAGTGTACATGCAGACAGATCACTCATACAAATAAAAGGCTGATTACAATGGAAAACAAAATTAACATTACTTATTACACTGTTCCAGAAAACTTACCTATTTTGATGTTGGGTGACTGTCTTTGACTCTTTATCTTCCTTGCTGGGTTCAGCGAAGTGTCTCCCCCAAATCTCCTGGCTAGGACTGTTGCCCAGTGCTGGTGAGTTATTCCCCTGGAGGACCCTCATGCCCCATCTCCACCTAGGGGTCGTCAAAGGGAATAGGTCGCCAGCACCACAAGGCAACAAGTCCATACTTCTGGGGAAAGATCTGGAAAAAAGGTGAAAGAAAAACCAAATTACTGAAGTCAAGTCCATCGGGAAATGTGCGTCCTTATGTGGTATTCAGCAGTTCTGTTAATCATATAGACTTTTTGTTGGTGGTGATAAATATATCTTTATGTTATGCCTATCAACTTAGTGACATGAGAATTGTCCCATCTGAGCTCTTTATTCTCTGGTGTCTAGCCATGAGTAATCCTTACAGATTGTTTAAGCACTTGTATATTATAATCAAATATGCTGGGGATGTTTAAGCACTTGTATATTTTATAATCAAATAACGCTAGGGATAAAAGGGCTAAGCAAACTAGAGTTGAAACCAGTGGAAGGATTAGGCTATGAAGCCTTTTATGATCTGTAAAAATCCTCCACATGTGCCTCTGACTTCTTTGATAATGGTGTGTGTGTGTGTGTGTGTGTATTTTATTTTTAAAGACTTATTTATTATGTATAGTGCTCTGCCTGCTTGTATGCCTGCAGACCAGAAGAGGGCATCAGGACCTTTGGAAGAACAGACAGCGCTTTTAACTGCTGAGCCAGCCATCTCTCCAGCTCCCTTGTGTGTGTGTTTTTAGGTATGTATACAGTTCTGCCTACAGGCCAGAAGAGGGCGCCAGCTCTCATTGCAGCTCCCCGTGTTTTTTTTTTTTTTAAGATTTATTATGTATACAGTTCTGCCTGCATGTGTGCCCACAAGCCAGGAGAGGGCGCCAGCTCATTACAGATGGTTGTGAGCCACCACGTGCTTGCTGGGCGTTGAACTCAGGACCTCTGAAAGAGCAAACAGTGGTCTATATTAATCAAAGTGCCTGTTGTCACCTGGTTGTGGGGCATCTCCCTCTTTTAACTGGTGCTTTAAGTAATACCATGCTGGAACACCGCCAAAATGAATAGAAACGTAGTTTGCTCCATCCTTATGGTGCGTCTCTAGCACCTGATGCAGCATTGCATCTGCAGAGCTCAAGGATAATCAGAGCAACCACAAAATGTCCTTGTGTCAAACGCTAAAGGCCAGAGTACCAGAAACTAGCCTTCACAGGCTGTCGTTCCTCTGATGCGTTACCTTTTAAGCGGTTCAAAGCAGAACAGATTCAAGTTTGTCTTAGAAAGGTGGGAACCATTTCAAGGCCTAATCACAAGGCAAGGGTCTCACTGGTGACTATGCAATGAGAAGAGGTGTGCTTTATTGATTTGCCTCTCTCACTCTTCTCATGAAATGGAGATCGAATACGCTTACTACCCTTTCCACCTCAGTGGAGCTCATATCAGTATAGAGGAAACAGATCAAATACACGATCTCGGTATAAAGGAAACAGACCCAATACATGGCAGAAGTTTAAAAATGTACGTTTATACGCAAGGAGAAAATGGTGTAGGAATGGCTGGTTCTGCTTTTACAAGAAAAGGCTGCAGAAAACTAAAGCCTTAAAACAGACAGGACCCCAAGAATAGAAACTTCTCCCAAGTACCCTTTTCTTCATGTGGCCTGCATGTTGTTTGCTCAGGTTAGCTAGAGCGTGTCCAGAGTCTCGAAAGGAGAGGGCTGCTGGATTTGAATGAAGCCTGTATCAGCTGCTGGCAGTCCTTGACGTCTGCCGGAATTATCCCTGTGAAGAAAGACAAGGCTTTTATTAGACTATAAGAACTGTTGAGAAAAACCCAAATGATAAAAGAAAACAACAAAATATCTAGGAATTATAACCTGACACATTAGACCCTTAAAGACAGATTATATATAGCTCAATCAGCCAAGTTATCAACTCTACCTTATACTCACCTTTGGATGCTGTCTAGAATCCATTCTTCTAAAACCAGGCCATCCTTCTTCAATTGAGGCACAGAAGCAACTCCAAATTCATCCCTGGAAAACAAGTTCCAATGATAGTTATACCATGGTGCCAAAAGATAATTTGATTACAATACCCATATGCACAGACCAGTGTTTCTTCAATTGGGATGGTAAGAACTTGGTTAGAGAATCGTGGATGTTCTCATGGATTCCAAGTTCTAAGACTTGTGAAGAGAAAAAAAGTTTTTGAAATTGAAAAACATGTCCACATTTCAAAGACTTTTCTTTTCCTTTTTTTTTTTTGGTTTTTCGAGACAGTTTCTTTTCCTTTTTTAAAAACTTAAGTAACGAAGTTCCCTGATGACTACACAGATCTTCCCCAGGAGTGAGCCGGTGGACTAAGGGCAAAAGACAGGCAGAACGGGCTCCTTGGACTGGGAGGGCAGGATGCAGGCTGGGCAGTGGCTACATTATAGGGCAGGGCATATGCAGAGGCCTGGTCTGCTTCCGGCACAGGGTTTTGCACAATCAGCAGGCAAAATCCACTACTTCCACTCACACGGCTTAATGCAGGTGTGGTTCATGGGTACTTTATAGTGCCACTGGGGTCATGTGGGACCAGGTTGCTATCAAAGAGCTGCCTGCTGCACAACCCGATCTCTTTTGAAAAGGGTATGGTCATTGGTGACGGTGGTTTGGATGGTGAATACCGGCAGCACTAGCTTCCTTTAGGCCATTGTCTGAACTCTTGAGTTCTAACCTCTATTTAGGTCCAGAGGGGGCAGGTTGCAAGAACTGGGTGCCTAGGCAAGCCTGAGTGTGGGTGATGGGTTCAGATGGTCTGCACAGGCAGTCGGTGGTGCTAAGGTTGAGGCAGACACATTCTTTATACTCTCAGGAAACTTTGTTCCTTGAAAAGGTGTTTCCGACTGCAGCATTACTTGTACTTGAATTTGAAAAACAATGGCACGGTTTTCTTTCCCAAAGGATTCAATACCTCTGCATTTATCCCTAGGTGCTGACCTAGGAATGTGGGAAAAGGCGAGAAGGAATTTTTAGCGGAATTAAAATGATACTGAAGATCATTTGCATGCCCAAGGGCAAAACAAATGCAAAATGTGTTCTGGGCAAGAATGTTTTTCCAGCTGGACCTTGTTCTGCTTCCAGAAATAAGTATGTTTTTTTAACTTAAAGTACCCTTGAAGAAACACGGGAGGGCCTGGGGAGCGCTGGCACACACCTTTAATCCCAGCGCTCCAGGCAGCGCTCCAGGAAGCGCTTCATTTTCCCCAAAGCAACTCAGGGGCAGTTCTCTTAGGCAGCTCTCCATAGCTAGGCACCACTTCGTAGGCAGAGGCAGGCGGATCTCTTTGAGTTTGAAGCCAGCTTTGAGTTCTAAAGCTCCAGGACAACCAAGGCTACACAGAGAAAGAAATCCTGTCTCAAAAGAAAAAATACCAATAATAAAAGAATTAATTTTAAAAAGGAAAATGGGAGGAGGGTGCAAAAACCACAGCATAAAGTAGATGAGGCTTCTCCATTGCCCTTTGGGTAAAAGGTAAAGATTGTAAATTTAAAAAGTCACTTTTGATCTGTATGAGCCATTGTCATCTGTTCTGGGGAAGAAATGTAGTAAAAATGGTTGAAAAAGCCAAATTATCAAATTTATATTCCCAATTCTTACACTCAATTCCCAAGCTCAAGCTTCTGGGACTCAGTGACTGGCCCTTGCCATCCTTGGCATATTGCCAAGTATAATGGCTGGGTCCTGTACTCTTAATATCTTTATATGCCCCCAAGAGGCAAGAGCAGATGGCATTCGAATCAACCAACTGGGCTACCCAGATGGCACAAGTAATCTGGACCAAGGGTGCAATGTAAGCACACTTTTCCTCTTTAAGAAGAAGTCACGACCTTGCAAGCCCAGTAGACTTTCTAAAATACTTAGAATTCACTAGACAATATTTGACCATCATTTCCTAAAACGATTGCCAGTGTTGATTTTACATTAAGTCTTCAACAACACAAGCATCGAGAAGAAATTATGTAAAATAGGATTGCTTCTCATTCAGTGTTCCCAGGCATAGGGCTGGCCACACAATATCAACTCTACAATTTCATTGGCATACAGATGCATTGTGTAGAAGTTGAGAGGAACTTAGTCACTGACTTTTCAGTGGCTGGCACGTACATGAAAAATCGAATTGGAAAGTTTGCCTAGTAGCTACAAAGTAGTTACTTACCGTATTCCAGAGTCTTCTGTAGCCATCTGAAGGGCTGAAGCTCAACCTGTATCCTGAACTGGGTCGATTTCTTGACATCCTTCTCAGAAAAATGGTATTTTTTTTTTTTCAGAAACTTTGAAGAACTGTGGTTTCATCAGCAATGTCACATTCAGTACCCAGGAGCGGGCTGGCAAGATGGCTCAGAGAGTGAAGGCACTTGCTGCGAAACCTGACGATCTGAGTTTTTATCTCCAGGGACCCACAAGGTAGAACCAGTTCCCATTGCTCTCTGGTCACCAATGCGAATGCACGAGTACAGATACTCAAGTGCACATGCAAACACACACACACACTCATTCATGCACAATAATTAAAGAATGAAAACCAGAAAGCTTAAATACTCGGCGCCAATAGAGACAGATATTTTCTTAATAGGCGGATCTCTTTGAAGTGTACTCTCAAGAATGATTAGGTCTAGGCATATATATATATATTAAAATGTAAACTGGGGAAACAGGCTCCATCATTTTATTTAAGTTCCCACTTTAGGGTGGCTTTTTTTTCCAAGCTACTTCAAATCATTGCCCAAATTTAATGGCAGATAGAGTGAATTAATCACATGGTGGCCTACTCAAAGACAACTTGACATGCCCTCTCACTTAATCCTTTCGCAACCACCTTCTTAAAGTCAGTAGGGGCTAGCGTTCAATGTCAGGCCAAATTTAAATATTAAAATGTTTGGTCATGTTCCTTAAAGGCAATGATACTAAAGGCCACACAAAGATTGACTTTTGTATTTAAACTGGTAGTTCAGACCAAACATACATCCTGGCCTTAAGAACGCCATTCTACAAGCACTTTGACGGTATTGGAATAACAGTTACAGTGGTTTCTCCACAGACTCGCCACCCTCAGTAAAATGAGAGACACTGCTTGGTCATCAGATATATAGTAGAAGGAAGATATTTTTACTACAGAAAAGCTAATGATCACAGAATCAATTCCACCTGGCAAGCCAGAGGCCTTTCTTAAAGGCATAAACTATCAATAACTTTTCTGGCAGTTGGCACTGTACGTAGCAATATACCAAGAGAAACAAGTTGAGTTTGTTAAGCAGGCGGTCAGCTCCTGGAGGAAGGGTGTAAAGAAAGTACTAGCTCATCCTCCTTCTTTGGGAGACAATTTTCAGTTGATAATGTATAAGGAAAGCCCCAAATAAAAGGTGGCAATCCAGCTCCCTGAGCAAGTTGCCTGAAATATTTTTTTGAACAATAAAGCATTAATAAAGGTGGGCAGGAATGATTCCTGGCCCTAGAATATGCCAGCAATTGGAATTGGAGTAATTAAGAAATGCAGGCTGAAGAGCGTTGCTTCATCCACCTAGCTTTGGCCCGCTTTTGAAATTTTACATGTACAAATACATCAAAGTTGCAGGAAGCTCTGGGACACATGGGCTGAAAAGTGGGACCGTCCATCGGTGCTGTGTTCATTAATGACACACAGGTAATTGACAGTGTAGTGTGGTGGAGTTGTTTCCGTTCAACAGGGAGGACCAAGCAGAGGGCAACTGAAACAATGCAGCCATGTGCAGCGGGTAAGCTGATGACGTCTGGGATTGTTGACTTTAAGTCAGGAGAAGGGCTCAACAAAGAGGCAGACGGGACAGGGTGATGGAACTGGGAAAAGGGTGCCAAGGTCTTCAACATTGCATTGTGAGAATAAGTAGTCCATAAGAGTGGTCCATGGACAAACTAGGGGCTGGGCAGAGGGATGACTGCAAAAAAGTATGAGATCGTGGCTATTTGGGGTTTTGTGTACTGGAGCAATGCAAAAGGGATGGAAAGATGGGCCACTGTTGGGTGTACAAAACATAGGCATACTGCAGTATTTTACTTCATTATGCCAGGGGGAAACTAGAGGAGGGGATTTGCTCAACATGTCAGAGTAGAAAATAAACCATCAAGAGCTGCCATTGTGCCTGTTAATAGTCCCCGAATAAGCCGTTGGTCATAACCACTGTGCTCATTAACAGTCCCAGATGTTTTAGATGGATCAGCAGCCCCTGCGGTGATGCAAAGGGGGTATGAGAACATAGTATTCTAGGCATTCATAATTGCAAATACGCACACTTATTAATAACTCAGGGGCTCAGTTGGTCAGTACTCTTTAATGGTATGTAAAGAGAGTACGGAGTACCAACTAATAAGTGGTACTCTTGACATGGTTGCACAGCAATCAGTCATCCAGATGCTGAGGTTATAAGCAGTTATCACTCCTCAGCAGCTCCAGTCAAAAGGTAGAAACGTAGGAACCTTTTGCGCTACACAGGTCCATAGGTGTAAGCGTACATATTAATATACGTAAGAGAGAAGTGCTCAAAAAATAGTTAATGTGCCTCTGATGTCAAAGGAGTACAAGGATGTAAAATCCTACTCCAAAGGTAAGGATGGACAACTGCGTTAATGCACACTGAAGTCCAAATGAAAGGCACAGTGGGAAAACCTCTTTCTGCTTTAAAGCAGAGGAAGAGGGTATAGGGTTTCTGATACAAGAAGTGCTTAGCCACTGTGCATGTGAACTTTCCACTTCCTCCTAAAAGTTATAAGGAGTGAGTGGGATCCTTTTCTAGTGCACAGAGCAGGAGGAAACGCATATACATACATACAACATATAATACATACTGACAGTCCAGAAGAAGGCAGCCTTGGTTGATCAGCATACCCTGCCGTACTGCAAATGAAAGGTGAAAGAATCTGACTTTGTCTACTGACAAAGGAAAATTTCCACTGTATTTTAATGGTCCCCTAGCAGGGACCTTGCAATAGTGCAAAAGAGACACAATGGTCCTCAAAGTAATAAGGTCGTGGAGAAGTGCAATTTTGCACATTAACTGGCCAAATATTCTTATTAAAATGAATGAATCATGTCCCTTTTGTGTACATTAATGTTCAAGGGACACAGTGTGGTTTATTAAAACCACATCCTTTCCACAAATATTAAGACCTTAAAGTAATGGTCACTGCTGGAAATCAAAGGCAGTGGAAAGGAGAGGAGAGATCCTGACTCAGTGTCTAGGAAGATGGAGAAGCCAAGAGATTAGTGACCCTTGCTGTACTGCAAAAGGGTCTGAGAGTAGGATCTTATTCAAGTGGAAGGAGTCATGCGCAGTTGTACTCAAGGTACATGGTTGTGACCATCATAGTTTTACACTTTGACTGTTCAAACATGAGAATCTTCGGCAATGTGCATTCCCTGGTGAAAGGGAATGCATAAGGGTGGCCAGTGATGTCCTTCTGTAGCCAACAGAAAAGAGCAAATGCAATCAGACGTTATTAGCAAGCCACAACATGGGACCTTATAGGTCGCCACTACTGCGGTACCTCAAAATGAGGCTAAAACTGATCCTTCTGAAATTATCATTATGTGCATTAGCAGGCTGAGACAACGGCTTTACATCAACAGCCCCTACATAGTTTCCATTAAATGAAGGACCATTAACAATATTGGAATCATTTCTATAGTTTCAAGAAAGAGACTATAGTGTTAGTGAGCCTCTTTGCTTTGATATGTACAGGAGTTGAGATCTAAAAGGCACAACTGTGGACATAATATCTATGAGGCAATTAACACTGTGCACATTTACTGTATTAAGGATCATAAGTACTAGGCACCTCTTGCTGCAATAAAACTGGTTGTTAAGGTTATTACCCAAGGCATACTACTATAGCTAAATGAAGTATGCACATTCACAGTCTGGGAGACTGCAGGGCATGGCGGTGGATGCCAGTTATGCCAGTACTTGTGAAATAAAGGCTTGATCCTGAGCTCAAGGCCAGCCTGGGCTATATCGTAAGTTCCTGATCAGCCCGGAAATTCTAAACAAAAACAGTTTGAATCTGAGTTCAAAGGTCTTGTTAAATAAACGACTGAGTTTGGTTTCTTTATCCAATGCTCAGGAATAAGGACAAATGCAGCTGTGCACATAAAAACAGGCAGAAGCGGTGACAATGCCCGTATTAAGTGTCAGCCCAGGCTCCGTAAAGAGACTTACTCTTAAACAGCCACAAGGTGGTGCTCCGTGGCAGAGTGCTTTACCAGCGTGCACAAGACTTAAGTTTGATCCCAGCACAGCCAAAAGACAAGAACAAAGGGCCTTATTGGTGGCACCCTCTATTGTCACCCATTATGGTGTGAGGGTATGGGGCTTGAGCAACTGCAGTTTTGCACAATTGTATAAGAGGCTTTAGATAATCAGCACCCTCTTAACGTAAAGCAAAGCTGTACAAGGAAGGACCTTGAGAAATGGTTCAGTTTCTAATTAGGATCGTCCGTATCAATGTTCCCATGCAAAGTTTTCGGCTGAAATAGGGGAGCTGATGGGACTAGTATACAGTATCATGGACAAATGAATTTATGTCCATCATCAACTTAAAAATTGTAACCTGGGGTGATAGCACCAATGCCAGGTTATGGTGGCTCCCCCTTTAATAGCCAAGGCCTTGAGAATTGGAAGCGAGCACCTTAACTGTCTGTTAACAGACTTGTATTTGCCCCTCTGCTGAATGCAAATGGGGCTGGACTAGCTAGAGTCTAGCCAAATGAATCAATTATAGACTATAAGAATTAGTGCAAAGAGTGCTCAAGACTGAGAAAAGACTACTGAGCACTGCTCAGAAAATTGGGACTGTGGCTAATGCAGCAATGACAGAATGGTTTTTCCTTTCTTTAAGAAAGGAGACTTAGGAGATCACGCCTTGATGGTAATTCTCTGAAATGAAACTCTTGTTCAATTGGTGTTTCTTGATTAACATGAGGGACAAGAGTTCTTTGTTATAATATTAGAGGCCATGGACAAGTAGGACTGTGGCATTAAGTGAAAATCATGACTCGGGCAGTCAGCATGGAGGGGAAAGTCAGGACAAGTAATGGGCACGGCATTTTTTGCTCTCAATCAGTGAAGTTTGGAATGTCTCTAGGGAGAAAGGGCCTGGGGTTAGAGCCTGGGGCTAGAGCTGAAAGAATCTGGGGCTGGGCTGGGGCAGGGCTAGGGTTGGGCTGGGGGGGGGGGGAACGGCTGGGGTTGGGTGGGGCTGGGGCTGGGGCTGGGGGCAGGGGCAAGGGCAGCAGTGTTTGGTTAGGTCTAAGAAGAAACTGGATGCTACAAAGGCCAGGAGCCATAGAAAGTTGCTATGTGGGCATTAATATCCCAGTAGTAAGTCCGACAGAGGACACCGGACCACTCGAGTCATTAGTCAATGTAGTATCAAGAATGGCAACAAAAGCAAAGCCTGGACTAGAGTAGATTTTCAAATACTCCTTTTGATATCCAATCACAAGATTAACTTTCCATTAACAATATCTGTGTCATAAGACTCTTAAAAGTTTAACAGTACTTCAATAGATAGTTTGAAAGAATGTAAATTTAAGTGACTTGAGTATCATCTGCCAAAAAAGTTAATGAATTTAAAAGAAGCTAAAAACACTAAGGATTCTGGACTGAAAGCATAAGGTGATTCAATTGAATTCTACAAGCAGTAAAGCTCTTAAATACATTTCTATAATCACTCCAACTTTAGATTCAAGCACTAGCAAACCACACTAGCAAACTTCGCTGACATCCAAAACCTTCATACAAATCAAATTTCAACCCCAGCATTAGCCATGGGGTAGACGAGCCTGTGGAAGGAGGCAGGATTCCACCTCTTGGCCAGGGCTTTACTTGTAGTCCATTACGACTCTGGCCAGTGTCACCACTAAGCCCACAGCAGGCCTGGAGAACTGCTTAACACGGCAGTGCCAACTAAATCCGAGGCCAGGGAGTGAGTAGACAAGTCTCAGGCCACTGAACCAATACAAAGAAATGCGGTGAGGCTTAGCTTGTACCACCATATAGAGCACTGCAAAAGACCAATTTAGACAAATAGGAGAGCAAGCAGATAAATTACTCTCCTCGGAGAGATACATTAACCTGACCTCATAATGATTCTCTTCTTTCTTTTTAATAGATGAGGCTTCAATGTGCAATCCACATCGACCTCAACCTTAAGAACCTCCACCCTCAAGTCTCTCAGATCGGATCATCATTCAACACCTCAAATGTTAGAATTAAAAGCGTCCCTTCACACCTGGGTAGCCACTTAAAACGATGACGAAAGAGGTACCAAGGTAACTCAAGTCCTTTTAGGACAGTGAGTCTTCATAGTCTACTTCAATCCTCTACACCAAGTAGAAGTGCCCATTTTTGACTAGTTAAGTCAAGAGGCAACCAATACTTCTCAGAAGTGGCAAACTTCCAACTGGGCTTCGAGTGGCACAAGGTAAAACCAACCACTCGCATCTTAATGCACTAAGTACATCTTGGACAAGGACAAAGCCCACCGTGCGTGGCTAAGTAAAGCCCGCCAAGACTAAGCCCACCAAGAATATATCAAAAAAAAAAACCCTCGAGGACAATCACGTGACATCGCCATCTTGGCCACCCCAAAGCATGTGCTACATTGTCCTCTAGGCTAACTTTGGCCACCAGACTGGCCTGTGAAAAACAAAGCCCGCTACCTCATACTACAGCAGAGACGCCATCTTCTCTTGCATAACCTAAATGCCCTATTTCCATGCTATACATTAGAATAAAGGTGGGGTTGTCGAGCCTTGGGTAGAGCAGCCGAGACACCATTTGATAAACCCTAACACGCACTACTTAGAATCTGGGCAGAGCCCCCCACCAATATCGAAACATCGATTTCAAGCTCTATCCTGAAGTCTTATAAAAGCTCCTTTCACATAACACCACACACGAACACGAGAGCTTGATTTTCTGCTTCCAGTTACCATGAGTCTTAAAAAGCCACAAATCAAGTCCAAACCCACACACATATAAAGCCTTTAGCTGGTGCAGCACACATGATTGCCTCTGTCCAGTCCACTGTCTACCTCGACCCCCTAATTCTTGCCATAACTGGCTCATGTCACGCAGCAACTGTAACATGGCGGAAACGGGCTCTCCACGCCCTTAACACCCACTCAGCTTAAGGGCAGTCATTTTTCTAAGCCACGGTTTCACTCACACACCACCAAACGATCAGCAGCCCAGCAAGAGGAAAGAAAAGAGGTATGGCTATTCCCAGGTAGTGCAATAATAACTCACAAAACCAACTTATATCCATCCACCAAATGCCCCGATGGGCAAGGGAAAAAAATTAAGCAGGTATCCACGGCCCCGATGGGCAAAAAGAGAAAAAAAAAATTAAGCAGGTATCCAAGGCCCCGATGGGCAAGGAAAGACTAAACGCAGGTATCCGAGGTCCCGATGGACCAAGAAATACGTTTTCTTGTAAAAAAAACAGGTATCCATGGCCCCGATGGGCTAAGGGAAAAAAAGAAAAGGAGCAGGTATCCTCAGCCCAGATGGGCAAGTTTAGAAGAAGAAAAAGAAGGAAGAGGGAAAAAAACAAAACGAAATAAAAAGCAGGTAAGTATCCACAGCCCCACTGGACATGGAGTGAAGGGACAGGGAAGAAGGGCACACATTTTACTGTAGCCCCCATGGGCAAAAACAGAGATGGAATAAAAGAAAGGTAAGTGCACAAAAGTCCACAAAACAGAGATGGCGACTAAAATGACTGACAAGGAAATAGTCATTAAAAATGAAAAATTGGCCGGGCGATGGTGGCGCACGCCTTTAATCCCAGCACTCGGGAGGCAGAGGCAGGCGGATCTCTGTGAGTTCGAGACCAGCCTGGTCTACAGAGCTAGTTCCAGGACAGGCTCCAAAGCCACAGAGAAACCCTGTCTCGAAAAACCAAAAAAAAAAAAAAGAAAGAAAAATTGTCCAAAAATATTACAAATATCAAAATATGAAAGACGTGTCAAGAAAAGCCTACCAGAACATATAAAATCTTCAAAAATATTATGGAATCTTGATATATTTTCTTAAATACACCATAAGGCATGGTGGTAAGGGAACTAAAAATGTTCCCAGAGACCCCGGTAGATGGACAGAGACCTCGGAGGAGGCTCACATCCACGGGAAACTGGCAAACACGGCTGCGGCAAGCACTTGCGTGGTTTTAAATGATCGTGACGCTGAAGGCGGGAGAGACCAGAAGAGGAGTGGCCAGAAATGCGGAAAAGTCCCGACTTCTTATTGACGTTTTCATGCAAATTATATTTTCTAAAAAGAGTAATTAAGGCCGGGCGGTGGTGGCGCACGCCTTTAATCCCAGCACTCGGGAGGCAGAGGCAGGCGGATCTCTGTGAGTTCGAGACCAGCCTGGTCTACAAGAGCTAGTTCCAGGACAGGCTCCAAAACCATAGAGAAACCCTGTCTCGAAAAACGAGAAAAAAAAAAAAAGAGTAATTAAGATGAAAATTAATTATGATTGTACCAAAACAGAGCGATCGAGAACCACCAAATTTGCACATTTTGTGTGATATTGAAGGATTATCCTCTATTTTATAGCTTATAGGAAAGGCACATAAACGTTGTATAATGTACATGCATATTTTCAATATATAATCTACTTGGACATCCGACCTTGCGTAGCCCCTCGTCTTGGTGACTAAAATGCTTTACGGATCAATTGGTGTGCTCGAGGTAAGGAAAAAGAAGAGGTGCTTCACAAAATGGTTCCTTGGTTCCTAAATTATTAGGGTATTATTGGCTGTGACCTATTTGTACTGATGGCGCACAGAATTTTGGTTCTGTATCATTTTTGTACTTTCCGGGAATCTGGTAACTCCAAACTTTGAACCAAAAAGTTTACTTGCTAGCAGCGGTAGAAAAATCCGTAAAGCCAAAGCAAAAGTTGAGAATAGCTCAGCGGTGTGGCACTTGCCCTAGAGAAACAGTTAACTTAGAGAAATGTCCAATTTTATTCACTGAAAACCGCGGGACAGCCGCCTGAAAGAGATTAGACACCAGGTGTTAAGAACAATCAAAGAATACAATACCTGGTTGATTCAATTAAACAAAATATTCACTTTGGGCATCGGATGAATAACAAAAAACACAAAATTGTTTTTGCTTAGGGACCTTCCAAGTACCTACAATTCACTAATCTGAACATCGCAGTGGTTCACATAGGGACGGGAATGAAGAAACGATGCCTTCATTTCTATGATGAAATGAAGAAACCCTGTCTCAACAAAAGAAAATGAAAATAATGAACAAATGGTATACACAGCCTGAATAAGCCAGCAGATGGCGGAATGAATCTTTCAAAGGCATTTGAAGCCAGCCTTGGAGTCCAAGATTGGGATCTGAATTGAAGGCCAAAGGCTACATATCCAGGTAGGTCAGGCAGCCAGCTAACAATACACCTGCAATTTTTGCCTCAAGAAACCCACGTCTTGTGAGCCTAAAATCTACTGGGGGGATTTGGTCTTGTATAAAAAAGTTGAAAAAGGACTTCCAAAGTTCATGAGTCAACAGTTTATTGTCTAAATTCCCTCTAAAGCAGTCTATAAATCCAGTACAATCCTTTTCACAATTCTAATGACATGCTTCACATAAATTGAAAAAAAAGAACACAAAAATTCATATGTGGGGGGAACAACAACAAAATTCTGAATAGCCAATACTGAGCCAAAAGTGATGCTAGAGACGTCAAAATACCTGTCTTCAAATTGTATCACACAATGACGTTCGTGCCTGTGAATCCCACCCAGTACTTGGGAGTTGGAGGAAGGAGAATCTGGAAGATGTACATAGAGAATTTGAGACCAGATTGACCTACATGACATCTAGCTTCAAATGAATAAACAAGTTACACCACAAAATCAACCTGGTATTGCCACACAGGCAGTCTTATACATTAGTAAGGTAGAATAACGGACTGAAACACACAGCTATAGCCATTGGATTCTTGACAAAAGTGCCCAAACCATACATTTGAGACATACAGCATCTTTGACAAGTGATGTTTGCCATACTGGGTACCCATATGTGAAAGACTAAAAGTGGATAGCTATCTCAACCTTCACAGAATCAACTGACAATTCCAGCTCCAGGGGAGGTTTTAATTCTGGCCTGCATGAGCACCCTCACAAATGTGACACACACACATTTTTAAAAATACAAAATCTTGCCAGGCGATGGTGGCACACGCCTTTAATCCCAGCACTCGGGCGGCGGAGGCAGGCGGATCTCTGTGAGTTCGAGACCAGCCTGGTCTACAGAGCTAGTTCCAGGACAGGCTCCAAAGCTACAGAGAAAGCCTGTTTCGAAAATAAAAATACAAAATCTTTAGAAATGATAGTTTAGGCTGTGGATAAAGTAGACTACTTCCTCTGCATGCACAAAGCCCGAAGTTCAACCCCCTGCACCACATAAACCAGGCATGGTGGCACATGTCTTCTCCAACATTCGAGGGGAAACAGTAGGAGCAAGGTTCAAGGCTACGTAATGTGATCCGAGGCCAGCCTGGGCTATATGAGACACTGTCTTCTATCTTGTCTATTTCTGTCTTTTCACAGCAACACAACACTGACGAAATTAATGAACAATTCAAGCTGTAGGCAATAGCTTGTGAAACATTAGCGAGACTTGACAAATGACAATCAAATTAAGAGGCTTTACACACCAAAGGAAACAACTTCTACAGTGAAGAGGCAGCCTACAGTATGGCAAAAAGTCTTGCAACTCTTCATATTGAGCTTTAAATATATTCATGTATGTTTGGGGAGGGTGAGTGTGCATGCGAGGATAGTTGCCCATGCAGTTCAAACCAGAAATAAGGTACCATTCAGGCAAAGTTTAACAACCACACCTATCGATCAGAATAGGTCAAGTAAAAATTGCCCCATTGTGGTTCAGCTTCATTGCATGTGGCCTTTCTGCTCCTCTGAAGCTAATATATGGAAATACTAAAATGAAAATAAAGATTCCAAAGTCTTCATGTGTATTAAGTTCCTTCTGTGACTCCTGCTTCTAGAAACCCTAATAAATGGACTGTCACGTCTCTCTGTGTGCCTGCTGCCTTTATCCAGATGATGTGAGCAGAGGAAACATACTGTTTACATGGCCACTGAGATGTGATATAATATCCGTGATTAAACATCTTCCAGACGGTGATGTAAAAGCATTTGTAATCACCTTTACACGTACATGCCTTATATGAAAAGTCAGTAACTTCGGAATTATAAGTCTCCAAAGACTTTCAGATCTGACTACTGGGAGCGCATACCGTCCCATGACTGTCACATTGATTTCTCTTCCAACTGCTTTCCTTTACCCACAGAGGGGGCTCAGATAAGATGTGTGTTTTGTACGTCTTGTTTGATAGTTTGAGCTTTCTGAGTATTTTTGAATTTTCTACCAGCATGAATGTGAATTGCATTTGCAGAAGCCCAGAGAGAGGGCGAAGTCCCCAAACCTGGAGGTAAGGATGCTTGTAAGCCACCCAGCTTACTAAACTCAGTTTCTCTACAAGAACAACTGGTGCTCTTAACCTCTGTACCATCTCTCCAGTTCAAAATCTCTTATTTGTCTTTAATAAGTTCAGTTTGCCTCACCCTTTGACCCCTGCAGCAGGTGGAATAGTGGGTCCTGAGGTCATCAGAATGGAAGAACTGGTCCTGCCCCTCACCAGCTGCAGCACAGTAGAGCTGACCCTGTTGGTAGGGGCACGGGAGAACTGGCTCCCCACTTTGCTCCTTGCTTCATAGGGTGAAGGACTGGCAAAGGCAATACTGGAGAGCTTGAGTTGATAGTGAAGATGGGAGAAAGCTGGCAGTCTGAAAAACCCTGCCACTAGGCCCAGAACCCGCATCATCTATAATCTGCTGAAGCACATGAAGAGGCTCAGCCTGCAGACCCAAAGCTGCTGTGTCTCCCCAACACAGGGCAACAAGAGGAGGTCCAAGAGGAGTCCTAGTGAAGGCCCAGTATTGATGGAGTATCAGAAAGCAGAGACCTCGAACCAGACCAAAGATTCATTGCAACGAATGCTTTCAAGCAAAGATATATGGACTAAAGAGTATTGGGGAATAGGTTGCAAGGGCAGGGGGGTGGATCTGAAGGAACAGGGAGATGAATGAGATTGAGGTGCATGAAATGAAAGCCACAAAGAAAATTTCTGTTGGATCTTTCCCGCTTCCGTCATTGCCTTAGTTTTATTCTATTGCTCTCATGGGTATTTCACGGGTTCATTTCTAAGTTCTTCAGGCTTCAATGATGTTTCCTCCAGTGGCTCTGTGCCAGTTGCGTTTCAAAAGGTTAAGGAACAGTCACATTTAGTAGGCACTACCTTCAACTTTTGGTAGCCAAATATGATCTTGAACGGATCCTCTTGCCTACACTTAGTAAAAGCTGGAACTACACGTGTGTGCTGCTCACTGGTCATTTTAAAAACTAGATTTGTGTGTGCGTGTTATGTTCATGTGGGTATATGCACATGTGTGAGTGCCTTCCATGCTTGTATGTGTGTTATGTTCGTGTGAGTTAGTGCATGTGTGTCAGTACTGTATGTGTGAATGCGGGTGTGTATGTGTGTGTATGTGCTTGCAGAAGATGGAACTGGAGTTCCAGGCAGTTAGCATGAATGCATTTGGAGACCAGACCAGAGAACAGCATCAACCGGCTTCCCTATCATCCGTCACCTTATTTTATGACAAGGTATCAAGAAGCTCGAGGTTGGCTGACCAATGAGATGCATGTCTCTGCACCACCAGGACTGTAGTTGCAGACATATTACTGTCCTTATTTTTACGTGTGTGGGTATGAAGGACCCAAACGTAGCTCCCCAAGCTTGGGAGGCAAGCCCTTTACTAACTGAATCAACTCCCCTACAGATAGTCTACTATAACCAACTTTTTTTTTTTTTTTTTTTTTTGGTTTTTCGAGACAGGGTTTCTCTGTGGCTTTGGAGCCTGTCCTGGAACTAGCTCTTGTAGACCAGCCTGGTCCTGAACTCACAGAGATCCGCTTGCCTCTGCCTCCCGAGTGCTGGGATTAAAGGCGTGCGCCACCATCGCCCGGCTTTATAACCAACTTTTGAATTACTTGACATTTGGACATTTCAAAGTGTTTGGAGTCAGTAAAGAGCAATAAACATTTGGAGGAGTCAGGTTGTTTTTTAGTTCTTGTATTTCTCTTTTTGTGGTTTGAGCATCTGTTGAGATGGTAGTTCTTCTGGTTTTGTATGAAGATAAGGGGTGGCTTTACACTGAGAAACTTTCCCTTTAAGTCTTACTCTCTAGTGCTACTCATTGAAAAGAAAAACAAACTGCAGTAACAGCTTCAAAAGGAGCAGATACAGAAATGAAATCAATACGAAGGCAGGCAAGCCGCTTACATCTGTAATCTTAGCACTGGGGAGACAGGCAGGAAGATTTCCGTGAGTTCCAGTTCAGCTGTGGTTACCCTACCTCAAAAACAAGTTGAAGGTGATGAGATGGCTGGGTGTGTAAAATGTGCTTGATGTGCAAGCCTGAGACACGTAAGGTTGCTTTGGCTCCCCCTACACGATGTTCTCAGTGAACTCACACATACCACCTACAAGCACACACCAATAACGGTAAGAACAGCAAATCACTTCTTAGGACATTTCTAGTGCTGTTCTTTGACTTGTGACTAAGAAACAAGTCCCAGGAAGTTGTTCTGATTTGAGCTGGACTTGTTGAGTCACTGTCGTAAAGGACGGCTCACTGCCTCCCGAGGGCTGGGATTAAAGGCGTGTGCCACCATCGCCCGGCTAAATGAAGTCTTTTTGTTTGTTTGTTTCTATGTTTGTTTGTTTGATTTTAGTATTGTTAGAAACATTTTTTTTGTTATTTAATTCCTTTTTTTAAGGACTTGTTTATTTTCCTGGGTGGTGGTGACATCTTATGCATTTAATTCCATCATTAAAGAATCAGAGGCAGCTGGAGCTCTGTGAGTTCAAGGCCAGCGTGACCCCACTGGGGGCCGGATAGCGAGGCTCAACTCTTGACCCTTTAGTCTGTGCTCGGGAGTTTCCGATGTCCTCCTGTTCCAGGCTGGTATGGGGTGCTGGATCAATCCTTGACCGCGTAGTCTCTGACCATGTGCTAGCCTATCTCAGAATGTAGGGCCTTGGACTCAGCTCTTCGAGTGACCGAGTCTCGGGAGACAAGGCTTTTAGTTCTCTCGAAGACGAAGCTTTGCTCTCTGGATGGCAAAGCGTTCTGAAAGGCAGAGTATCTTGTCTGTTCTCGGGAGACAGACCTTCAATGTCCACTCTCAGGGAATAAGGCTTTGCATTCGGGATGCAAGGTGTTAAATGTCTGCTTTTGGGAGATGAAGCTCTGTACTTGGGAGACAGAGCATAAATGTTTAGGCAAGACGTTTAATTTTTTTGTTTTCGGAAGACAGGCTTGGAGGATCTCTCTTTCCACAAAGGCCGGATAACCGAGCCATTGTGAGAAGTGAGATGAGAGGACCGTCCTCCTTCAGCCCTCTCTTTATGCCAGTTCTAAACTGCCCCTCGTTTGATCCTTCCGATAAGCAGGTGTCCTAGGTTATCAGTATCGACTGGTCACAGAAGGGTGAGGGTCCCTCTTGTGTGGCAAGGTTACTTTATTACCACGGTTGTTGGTTACATCCCCCCCCCCCCATCTGGCAGGGCCAGATGGGTGTGGCAGCCTTTAAGCAGACAAATATTCTCTTAAAATTTTGCCTTAGTAATTTTCCACACTACACACAAGAAAAAATGCTTTTACATTACACCAAGTTGCATTCATTGAGGCTCATTGAGTCACGTTTTAAAATGCTCATAATTAAATATATACATATATGTATATATAAGTATGAATATAGATTTACTTAGTGTGTGCACGCGTGTCTGTGCTCAAGCACCTGTATCACAGTATGCACGTATGGAGGGAGACCAGAGGGACAGCTTACTGGAGTCTGTTCTCCCCATTCATTTTTTTTTTTTTTTTGGTTTTTCGAGACAGGGTTTCTCCGTGGCTTTGGAGCCTGTCCTGGAACTAGCTCTGTAGACCAGGCTGGTCTCGAACTCACAGAGATCCGCCTGCCTCTGCCTCCCGAGTGCTGGGATTAAAGGCGTGCGCCACCATCGCCCGGCTTTGTTCTCCCCATTCCTAATGCGGATCCTGTGAAGTGGATTGAAAGCAGGTCATCAGGTTTCGAGGCAGGCGCCTTTATGTGCTCAGACATCTCTCTAGCTCTTGGGTAAAATTCAAAACAGATACTTTTGAGTTTTATTTGTGTACATGTGTGAAAGACCCCCACTCACTAAGCAGCAGTAATGCCATTTTGCAAGGCTTAAACTTTGGAGCAACGCAAGTAATTAGAGCAGGGAAGTTCGACTTGAAAGCAAGGGCGAGAAGCCAGGCGAGATATCTGCGGTCAGCCGGTCAGCCACCTGGCCCCAAGCGATAAGGAACCCGCAGCTGGCCTGCTCTAATGAGAACATCCCGTTTGCTTAGGGAAACGGGGGATGCCTATAGTCAGCACATGTGCCCAACTTAGAATGTCAGTAATTCACTCCCCCTATGAAAGATCCCAGCTTATCTGCTGTAACGTCATTTCACAAAGCTTTTGACGAACGACTGTAAGTGCAGAGTAAGGTCAGGGTCCCTGGCTGCAAAACAGGATCTTTATATCCATAGATTAGGACAGGACATCAATTAACAGGATGTCTGTTCCCATACATCTGTGCTGGGAGAGGAAAAACCCCCTGTGCCCCTGGCCCCATTCCAACTGACCACTAACAATGCGTTTGCTTCTGTAATCTGCTTCTGCTGCCCTCTTTCCTATAAAAAGACCTTCCCCCAGTCTGCAGGCGCGCTTGTCTTCCGAAAGACTAAGTCGCCCCAGGTACCTGTGTACTTAAGTACTTAATAAAGCCTCTTGCTGTTTGCATCCGAAGAGTGACTCGCTGCTCCTTGGGAGGGTCTCCTCAGCCTGAAAGACTGCCCACCGCTGGGGTCTTTCATGTGCACACGTTTGCCTGTGTAGCGGTATGTGCACATTAGTTCAGCCAGCGGTGGGGGCAGGGTTAGCTCCTCCAGGAGTTACAGTTGCGAGCCCTTCATCCTTACATGGATACTAAGTGACTGAACTTTTATCTTTTGCAAGAGCAGTAAGCACATTTAACCACTGAGCCATCTCTCCTGCCCCCGTGCCTCTTGGTGCAATAGGTAAAATGAGAATCTTCTTTTTAAAACGGAGGTTGGGTTTTGTTCTCTCCCTTTATTGATAACACAGGATCCCTTTCTAATTTGTGTAGTAACCAGTATTGGTGAGAATGCCCTAAGCCGAAGGGGTTATTGTCAGCCTCTGCCCTGTGACTTGCCCTATAAATTTCCTAGAGACAAGGCATAATCTCGTAAGTCTTTATACAAAGTTTGTGGACAATCCCAGGCATATGGCTTACTTCTCCAGCTAACGTCTGTAACATGTGGATAGCCACAGCAGTTAGCAGCTAAAGCAATCCTGGTGGCTAAAACTACAGATGCTGCTCCGACACAGGTCTCAGAATGCAACACAAAGCCCTCTTCTACAGAAGCAGAAAGAAGAAACTCCAGAGGGGAAAAGGAAAACAAAGGGAAGATGGGCAAGAAGAGGGGGAAACATATAAAACGAGCAAACACAGGCAGCTTTTAGAGGAACCGCGAGCGGTCAGTCATCTGCGGAAGCCGCCGCTGACTATCCGGGTTACGTAGCTGGCGTAGCCATTTGTGGAGAGCGCGGTGCGGATCTGGGACTATTCGGCTGTGATGAAAGCTCGTCTGTGTTTCCCCCTTCCGTCCCCGTTTTCTTGGCGCCAGAAATCCAGTGTTGTATAACGTGTAAAATGGCCGGGTCGGGATATATGCTTACTTCCCTGGATTAGCAAGGCAGCTAGAGGATGACTCTATAAGGAGAGTGGAGAAACTGGCCAGTTAATATGTCTGCCAGAGTGAGTGCGCGGCCTCGCTCTGGTCAGAGAGGTGACCCGGACATCGGCCACTACTCCGACCACGTGTTCTGCCAAGCGGGAGGAGTAGCCGCCTTGCATTGCATGTTTCTCCCCTACTTCACTGTACGTGATAAATGATCGGTCTCCGCGTCACCCGGCCTCCACGGATGAGCCCGTCAAGTCAGCGAGGCCGGTTCGTACCGAAAGGCTCAGTATAGAGGTTTCCTTTCGTTTTCCTTTGTCTAATTGGGATTTTACGCGTACCGCGAGTCTCCTAAATGTAGTGTTTACTTCAGCCCTGCAGAGGCCTCCACGATCAGCGTAACCTATTGGGCCTCAGCTCTTTCTAACAAAACTTAGTACTTTGATAAAACTAACTTGTTTGTAACATACTAATTATGGTATGTCGAGCTTTCCTTCTATGCCTTTCATATGTACCCCAAATGAGGACCCGAGTATAAAACACTGAATACGTGGTTTGGAAGCAGATGAGTGCTTATTATAATAGGACTTAAAGAATGTTCTGTTGTTTTGTTGTCCTATACTCATTTGGTCAAAAGAAATTTCATTATCTTACTTAGGTACTGCTGAATAAAGTTTGAGTTGTTGCAATCATTTGGAAGCATTAATGTAGCAATATTTAGGGAAAAATACAGATATTACTTGACCAAGTATATGGAATACTAAGGCTCAATATCTGGAATTCAGTAGTCTGACTTTTAAGAATCCATCCTTCAGAAAGAAAAGCAACAGTATATAAATAAGGATATGTAAAGTGGATGCTTGTGCAGCTTTCTTTTTGTGGCAAGTAACAAGAAATAACCTGAGTATCCATCAGTAGCAGAATGTTAAAAAAAGTTTGTATATTTGTTCTTTGGTATAACAGATGTTATAGCTTGTTACATTAAGTTGGAGAATTCTATGATCTCATTTTTTCCCATGTATGTATCGGGTGACAGGAATGTTAAAATGAACTTTATGTTTTAGAAAATTATTTTGGCAGCATTATATGTTGTGAGCTAATTAAGACAAAATACACACGGAATAAAACCAAACATTAACATTATAGTTGAACTTTTGCTGTATTTGTCAATGATTGTATCTCACTCTTTTGCCCTCCCCTAGAGTAACTATAATGCCTTTCGTCCTGAGTATTGGTTATAGAACCCAGGGCCCTGTGATGCTAGGCAATCATGCTACCCCTGAACTGTATCTAGGCCTCCCTCTTTATTAAGATTTATTTTTAATTCTGTATGTGTGTAGGAATGTGCACATGAGTACAGCTGCCAATGAAAGTCAGAAGAAACCATAGGATTCCTTGGAGCTGGCGTTACAGTATAGGGTAAGAATCTTAATTTTGTAGAGGTACAAATAATTAGGCAGAGTTTAATGATGTGAATGACTTCTCCAACATAGATCAACATTTTGTATTGTATCATGAAACATACAATACATTTTATTCATTAAAACAGATTGCATTTCTCTCGTGCCTAAAAAGAGCTGTCAAATTCACATTTACTTGGACAAAACCTATTTTCAGTCATCCCCCCCTTTTTTTGAAACAAAGTCTTAATGTAGCCGAGGCTATCCATGTCTCTCACTCACCACTTCTAACTCCCACCTTTCCCAGCTTGTGTCTCTTATTTCCAGATATTACTACGTTAGCCGAGGCTGGTCTTAAAGTTGTAATATTTCTGCCTCAGCCTCCAAAATAGCTGAGATTACAGGCCCAGCTTCTCCATTTCCCCGGCTTTTTTTTGGTGACATATGAAGTTCTAGCACAGTTAGTCTTTTGCATGAAAGCTCACAGTCTCTTGTAAATTTGGCTCCAAGGGATCCAACCCATCTTCTGAGCTCCTTGGATACCAGGCACGTGGTACACAAACATGCATGTAAGAAAAAAATCATTCATACACATGCAATAAATAATTTTTTTTGTCTTTTTGGTTTTTTTAAATATGTATTTATTTTTATTTCGTGTGCATTGGTTTTTTGCCTGCATGTATGTTTGTGTAAGAGTTTCAGATCCCCTGGAACTGGAATTACAAGAAGTTGTGAGCTGCCATGTCGGTGCTGAGAATTGAACCCAGATCCTCAGAAGAGCAGCCAATGCTTTTAATCACTAACCCATCTCTCCAGAACAAATTGATTTTTTTAATAAATAAAAACAACAAAAAATTTTTTAAAAGTATTTTCATTTGCATAGGACATTACAGGGCCAGAATAATGAGTCCTTGTCAGTTATTAATCTCTATTACTTATGGATACAGGGCAACTATTCCCACTGCATAGATGAAGGAGGCTTTGAGCAAAGCTTTAATAAGTTCGAACATCAACTCCGAGTCACTTTAAATGGTTCTGCAGGCAAAGAAAGCCACATCTGAGTCATGGGAATGCTGAATTCCTCAGGACACTGATGGCTTTAGTTGAAATTACACTTTTGAAGAATGAATAGTATAGGGCCTGAGAAACCAATTTGGAATGTTATCTTCATTTGTGTAAAACACTTTCTTGTCAGTGGATCTTTCTGCAGAGCAGCAGGTTCAGGAATTTAGCTCAGTAACTGGCAGTCTGAAGACTGTGGCTTCAAAGAGGCACATAAGTGGTTGGACAGGAGAGCACCAGGGTACCGGTGATGAATCTTATCCTCTCTGAGATGTTAACAATATAACAGGTTCTATGGAGACTTGAAGACCAGAAATCAGGCAAGTTATACTCCAGTATTTGGCTTTGCATATGGATCCCCAAAATGACCTTCGTTGTAAGGCTCAGGAGAAAAAACCCAAAAAACAAGAAACCTGCTGCTCCTCTTTTCTGGCCAAACTGAAGGCTCTGAGTCTATGCTCATACCATTTGTTTTTTTTAAGACAGGGTCTTACTATGTGGATCAAGCTGAGCTGGAATTCCCAATCTTCCTGCCTCAGCCATTGTTCATCAGACTTACGGCTATTAATTGACTCTCAGCAGTTGAATCAGCACTAAAAAACAGACAAATATTTTAGTTTAATAATTTCAATATTCATTACATATTTAAGTCCGTAACTAATGCATGCTGGTCTGTTAAAACTATGTCTTTTGCCTTTATTATGCTGTTCTACTTTCCTTTCTAGCGCTCTCATATAATACGCTGATCAAGAGCAACATAGAGGGTGAAGGGGTTTGTTTGGCTTGCACTCCCTTAGCATAAGTCCACTATTGAGGGAAGTCAGGGCAGGAACTCAAGCGGGGAATTGAAGCAGAAACTACAGAAGAATGAATGTTGTTGGCTGGCCCATTCTTAGCTAGCCTTCTTATACAGGCAGGACCACCCACCCAGGGAATGAGACTACCCTTAGTAGACTGAGTCCTTTTCCGGTAGGCCAATGTGATCTATGCAATCCCTCAGATGACTGTAGGCTGTGTCAAGTTGATAGTTAAAACTAACTAGGGCATGCGCATTGTCTCTCTCTGTCTCTGTCTCTCTCTCTTTCTCTCTCTCTCTCTCTCTCTCTCTCTCTCTCTCTCTCTCTCTCTCTCACACACACACACACACACACACACACATTTACTTCTTAGTTTTTTTTGGAAAGTCAGGCATGATGTATCCAGTAAAAGGAACTCCAGTATCTAGGCTTTCACTCCTGTGGTAGTAAGATGTCTGGGTGTTCTGTGTGCTCCTGATCATTCTGGCTTTCAGCGCTTCTGTGCTCCTGGGCTGTGAACTACAATTGCCTGCCCCTCTAATTATCTCACCCTCTCTGTGTAAGTAGGATATGATTACTAGAGAAATGTGGCTTGGATATTGCCTTTCTACTAAGGGGAAAGCGCAGGCTGGAATTGGGTACTTGGGTGTGTCCCTTTTCCATGTCCTTTAGTCTCTGATAAAGCAGTTTAGTTTGAGCGTTATTCAGAAGAAAATGCTCTTGTGTATTGCAGGAACGGCTGAATGTATATGAAGGTGGCTGTACCTGCTTCCCCTCTTGAAGCATATTTTCTCTGATCATCATGAAACCTGAGGTAAAAGTCATAAAGAATTTTTGGACTCTGCATGTCATCGCTCTCCCTGTGCCCAGGGTTTATTTTGTTGTTGTTCATTATTCTCTCGCTGAGATGAGGTTTCTCTGTGTAACAACCCTGACTGTCTTAGAACTAGCTCTTGTAGACCAGGCTGGCCTTGAACTCACAAGACTCGCCTACCTCTGCCTCACGAGTGCTGGGATTAAAGGCCTGTGCCATCATAGCCTGGTTAGAATGACAGTTTTCAAGCTCTGAACATTCTGGACGGTAAACCAGAAATCCTCTATACGTTTTTGGCACAGCTAGTTAGTTTCCATAAAACTTCTTTTTTTAAAAAAAAAGAATATTTATTTATTATGTATACAATATTCTGTCTGTGTGTATGCCTGCAGGCCAGAAGAGGGCACCAGACCTCATTACAGATGGCTGTGAGCCACCATGTGGTTGCTGGGAATTGAACTCAGGACCTTTGGAAGAGCAGGCAATGCTCTTAAACACGGAGCCATCTCTCCAGCCCTCCATAAAACTTCTGCTAGGAGTTTTGGATTACTTAGAATCTGTAGGTCTGTTTGGAGAGCATCGCATTTCATTAATGCCCCCCTTTTTCTTTTTCTTTCTTTCTTTCTTTCTTTCTTTCTTTCTTTCTTTCTTTCTTTCATTTATTTATTTTTTTGGTTTTTTGAAACAGGGTTTCTCTGTAGCTTTGGAGCCTGTCCTGGAACTAGCTCTGTAGACCAGGCTGGTCTCGAACTCACAGAGATCCACCTGCCTCTCCCTCCCAAGTGCTGAGATTAAAAGTGTATGCCATCATTGCCCAGCTGGTTTTCAGCATATAGACAATGTTGAATGGACCTTGTTACACATTCATAATTTCGGTATTATAGCAGTGTAATAATGATGTTTTTCCTTCTGTTGCATAAATTAGACATTACAAATTTTCTGTTTATTGTGGCTTGTTTTGAGCATATTAGTACATTGATTTTTCTTTTGAGACAGGCTCTTATGTAACTCAGTCTGGCTCCAAACTCATCCTGTAGTTGAATCTGTCCGTGAACCCCTGTTCATCTTGTCTTCATTTCTCAACTGCTGGGATTACAGATGTGTGCCACTACACAGTTTTCACATGGATTTTCATTACTGGCTTTGTATAGTTTTAGCTTGATGAAACACTCTACTGCCTATTTGTTATCTTTTTTGTACATTCTTTAAGGTTTTCTTTTTCCTTTTTTTAGCCCCCTCTCCCCAGTATTAGGGTTGGAACTCAGGATGGAACATGCTAGGCAACACTCCACCACTGAACTTCAGCCCTTGAAATTTTTTTTCTTTTGAGGCAGGGAGTCTTCCTCCCTCAGCATCTAGAATAGGTGGGATTGCAGAGATGTGTCAGTGAGCCTAAGTTGCCTTGGGATACTCTACTCTAGACAGTTGTGTTTCCATCAGTCTTCTCCTTGTTTTCTCTCAGCCCTCCTTTTTTTTTTTTAAATGATACTTTTTTATTTATTATGTATACAATATTCTGTCTGTGTGTATGTCTGCAGGCCAGAAGAGGGCACCAGATCTCATTACAGATGGTTGTGAGCCACCACGTGGTTGCTGGGAATTGAACTCAGGACCTTTGGAAGAGCAGGCAGTGCTCTTAACCACTGAGCCATCTCTCCAGCCCCCTCAGCCCTCCTTTTTTATTTTCTTTTTTTATTTATTTATTTTTTTTTTTTGGTTTTTCGAGACAGGGTTTCTCTGTGGTTTTGGAGCCTGTCCTGGAACTAGCTCTTGTAGACCAGGCTGGTCTCGAACTCACAGAGATCCGCCTGCCTCTGCCTCCCGAGTGCTGGGATTAAAGGCGTGCGCCACCACCGCCCGGCTCCTTTTTTTATTTTCTTTTTTTTTTTTTTGGTTTTTCGAGACAGGGTTTCTCTGTGGCTTTGGAGCCTGTCCTGGAACTAGCTCTGTAGACCAGGCTGGTCTCGAACTCACAGAGATCCGCCTACCTCTGCCTCCCGAGTGCTGGGATTAAAGGCGTGCGCCACCATCGCCCGGCTTCCTTTTTTTATTTTCAAACCTTATTGAATCGACCAGAACCACCACTGTTCTGGAACTCCTGTGTTGTATTACAATCTTTTGCCTTCCTTCCTTCCTTTTTTCTCTTCTTTCCTTCCCCTCTCTTCCTTCCTTCCTTCCTTCCTTCCTTCCTTCCTTCCTTCCTTCCTTTCTTTCTTTCTTTCTTTCTTTCTTTCTTTCTTTCTTTCTTTCTTTCTTTCTTTCTTTCTTTCTTTCTTTTCAAAACGGGGCTCTTCTGTATAGCCCAGGCTATCCTGGAACCAGACTTTGAACTCAAAGATCTGCCTGGCTCTGCCTCCTGAGTGCTGGGATTAAAGGCGTGTGCATTACCACCTGACATTTTATTACAATCTTAAGAGAACTATTTTAGACTTTAAGCATTGCTGACTTATTTTTGCATACTCTATGTTGTGGCAGCATTTCCTTCTATTCCTATTTAGCTAAGAAGATGTGTGTGTGTGTGTGTGTGTGTGTGTGTGTGTGTGTGTGTGTGTGTGTGTAACTCCTAGATACACCAAGATACATGCAGGCAAAACACAAATGCACATAAAAGAAAGAAAGTTACAAACCGCTATGCATATAAGGCCAAATTAGAGTCCTTTATTGGCCAGCAATGGAGAACAGGCTCTTGCCCCAAAGAACACTCAGCACCGAAGTTCAAAGGTAGAACCTTTGTAAAGGAACAAAGCATAATGATGTCATTGTCAGACGTGGGTCAGGGGAACCTGTAACATTTGTTTTGATTATACAGTCAGCAGATATTTTGATTATTTATCTAGACCATGGTCAGGGCCATGGAAAGTTCTGAATATGCTGCCAAGGTGGGCATGGCTTTTCAAGGGGTTAAGGACTGAAAGGTGTCTGAGCAAAGTGGAGTTAGAAGATGATCAGGACAAGATGGCGTTACCACAGTCACTTCAGCAGTAGTTGGGAATAAGTCTCTGTCCAGAGCAGTCTGCAAGCAGTCTACCACTGACCTGTGTTCCCAGCCCAGTTTTTGTTTTTTTTGTTTTTTTCGCTAATCAATTTTTTTTTCTTTTGGTTTTTCGAGACAGGGTTTCTCTGTGGCTTTGGAGCCTGTCCTGGCACTAGCTCTTGTAGACCAGGCTGGCCTCGAACTCACAGAGATCCGCCTGCCTCTGCCTCCCGAGTGCTGGGATTAAAGGCGTGAGCCACCACCCCCTGGTTGCTAATCAATTTTTTGAAGATAAAGTCTCACTTTGTAGTCTAGGTTACCCTTGAAGTCCCAATCCTGACTCAGCTTCACAAGTGCTAGGATTGCAGGTATGTTTCACCATGCCTATGGATTTTTTTAAAAGTTTAACCTCCCTTGTGGTCTGACACTAAACTCCATTGGCCTGTGGTATGTTTTGTGTATCCATACTTACATACATACATACATACGTTTTTGAGACAGAGTTTCTTTGTCCTGGGACTCACTTTGCAGAGCAGACTGGCTTCAAACTTAGAGTCCGCCTGCCTCTGCCTCCCGAGTGCCTTGATTTCAGGTGTGGGGCCACCACTGCCCACCTTGGTATGTTATCTTCTTACAAGCCCCATGATCTGAGTGTCTCGGCCACCCATCACTAGATTAATAGACGCTGTTGTACTGCCTTAAGAAACAAAAGGAAACATAGTTGCTGGGGATCTGAATTCAAATGTTCATGCATACACAGAAAACAGTTTACCCTGGTAGCTATCTCCCAGGCACTAATTCCTTTTACACAGTATTTTATTTCATTTCATTTCACATTTTGGTACAGGTTTTGTACCAAGAGCTACTGATCTGTATTTTTATTTTTCTTTACTCACTTGCAATCTCATTGGTTTTGAAATCAGGGCATCTGGACCAATAGTTGAGGGGCGGCTTTTGCTTTTCGTTTGTTTAGGTAAGCTGATGTTTTTGTTGTTTGTTTGTTTTTGGTTTTTTGAGACAGGGTTTCTCTCTAACTTTGGAACCTGTTCTGGAATTAGCTCTTGTAGACCAGACTGGCCTCAAACTCACAGAGATCTGCCTGCTTCTGCCTCCCGAGTGCTGGGATTAAAGGCGTGCACCACCACCGCCCAGCTTGTTTCTGTTTTTAATGTTTGTTTGTTCCTGTTTTAAAGGCAGAGTTTTACTTTGTAGCCCAAGGTATCCTTGATGTCACTCTTAGGAGGGAACAAAATTAAACTTAAGCTTAATTTCTGCTCTTGTTATCATATTTAACCATTAGTTTGTATTAATTGCAAGCTAATCTATTGTTTTTATCCCAGGCACGCATGTATGTGTGCGCGTGTGTGCAGGCATAGTAATTTGGAGTTCAGAGATTAACTTCAGGTGTCTTTCTCTATTACTCTCCACCTTGTTTGTTTAGCTTTTAAATTTATTTTATGTGTATGGATGTCTTGCCTGCTTGTATGTCTGCATACTACTGTGTGCTTGGTGCCCAGGTGGAGGACAGAAGAGGGAACTTTCCCCTGGAACTGGAGTTATAGGCAATCGTAAACAAGAGCTGGGAATGAACCTGGGTCCTCTGGAAGATCAGCCAGTGCTCTTCATTGCTGAGCCATCTCTCCAGCCCCCACCTTATGGTTTTGAGACAGGGTGTAGAGGTTTGAATGAGATGTCCCTCATAGTCTCAGGCATTTGAATACTTGGTCCCTAGTTGATGGGTGGCATTGTTTGGAAAAGCTCAAGGGGTCCAACCTCGTTGGCATGGCACGGGATGCAGGTTTTGAGTGTTTAAAGACTTGCACCATTCTGACTTCACCCTCTCAGCATCATGCTTGCTCCCAGCTGCTCTCCTGCTGCCATGCTGCTGCCTCCACTCCACCCTCCTGGACTAACCCTCTGGAACTGTAAGCCCAAAGAATCTCTTTCTTTTCTAAGTTGACTTGATCATCTTTTATCGCAACACTAGAAAAGTAACTAATACATAGGGTTTCTCCTGAAACCTGGA